TGCAGCAGGCCTTCTTTCAAAGCATTTTCTTGCAGCAGGCCCTCCTTCGGAACTTTTTTATGCAACAGACTCTCATTTAATATTTTTTTTCTTGCAGGGCATCACCTGCAGTTTTTTCTATAGGTTGTCCACTTTCCTGCAACATTATTTGTAATTGTAGTCAAAGACAACCACAATCAACTAGAAGTATTCCTAAATGCTCTTGGGGATGAAGACCTCAAATTCTACCTCACAAAGCATTTTCTTTGCACATTGTTTGATGATTTCAAATCAAGTTGAACATGATTGACATCTATGTTTCAACTTGAGGGGCAGTGTTAGAAGTTATTAGGAATCGATTCATCCCTTTCATCTTATATCCTATTTTATGTACTTCCTATTTTATGTTTTTACTTTTATCTCCGGGTGGCATTAGGAATTAATTATTTGTAATCATGAAGATATAAGTGTTTTGTCTTTCCTAGTTTAGGATTCATGCAAGCTATATTATACCCTCCTTTCCTATCAATAAAATATTCCCTTTATGTATGTAAGTATATATGTATATGTGTATGTGTGCACTCGCATCTGTGTGTGTAAGTTTCACAAGTTTGAAACCCCGAAGCTTAATTGAACGAGTTCAGCCAAGTTTGAAACAACAACAACAATAACAACAACAACAAAGCCTTAATCCCACTACGTGGGGTCGGCTACATGAATCCTTTTTCTCCATTGCGTCCTATTTAGTGTCATATTTTCATTTAGTTCTAGTAAATTAAGATCATTTTTAATACAATAAGCCCAAGTCTTCCTAGGTCTACCTCTGCCTTTCTTAACACAAGTCGAATTTAAAACATCTACTCTCCTAATCGGATCATCTAATGGTCGACGTTTAATATGACCAAACCATCTAAGACGACTTTCTCTAATTTTGTCTGTCACATATATATAAATTGCACCCCAAACTTTTATGTAAAATTACACTACAAAACTTGCAAAAATAATTTATTTCCTTCAAAAAGTTCAAAAAGAAAACTACTTGTGATTTAGTAGCTCAACCTTTCTATTCTTATTGTCCATATTTTTAGTCTATCTAATTTGTGCTTCAAGTATATCATTCATCTTTTCAGTTTAAAATTAAAACCACTTCCACTGAATGGAATGCATATGATATCTTTAGAAATTTAAGAATTCAAATGAATCTGATATAATCCTGAGCTTCGTAAGAGAAAAAGATTAGCAGAAGGATGCAAGATAAACCAAGAAAACATAAGAAATCACTTCTCAATGTATGAATTTCATTCTAAAGAGATGAAACATAAAGCAACCCTTTCATAAACAGAGACTAAAAAGAGCAAATTAATCTCTCTAGCTCAAGTTTCTTCTCAGAATAAAAAACTCAACAAATAATATCAAGTGTTTAAACGTGGACAAAATCAGAGAAAATTCAAGGGCATCTAAGTCAATGCATAATCTCTCATGATTTAAAGCATGAACAAATAAAGCAAAAATTTACCATTGTGTGGGATTTGCTCAACTCCATTCACTGGAAGGCCAATCCCAATCCCAGCAACAGTGACACCAACACTAAAGCCTATACCACAGCCAGCACCAACGTAGCCAATAACCTCAGGACCAAACCCAGGACCCCATCCAATGCCACAGCCAATGCCAACCCCCACGCCCCAAAACAAACCTATTGTTGGGTGCACAGGATTCCATCTTTCATACCTTCTGAATATCCCCTTTATGATCATGAGAAACTGCTATAAGAGTTTACTAAACAATCAGTATCATACATCATAGGTGGTAAAATGATAAGAAATGCAAATGAAAATAAGACTATAATAACAAAAATGGAGTCGTTTAGTTGCCCTGCTACTATCAAAACCCAGATCTTCAATCAGAAAATAAGCAAACTTATAGATATTGCAGCACATATACCAACAAATCATAATATTGGTAAAAATGCATTTCCAGTAAACACATTTCTTTATATTCCCTATTGAATTGTTTTCATATTAAAACGAAAAGAAAACGTTCGGAATATGGTTTTCTACAGTGAGGATATCTCATTAAAGATGCCGTTGCCGATAGAATCCTTAAACTAGAATCACATAGCCAAATCTCCCTAAATAATCAACTCAAATCTCCAGAAACCTATTATGTTTATGTATTTTTTGAGATATTGACAGAAAAGAGAGATTAGGTTAGGAACGGATTCTTCTACAGATTTAAAACAAACAAAAATAAACCAAGAAGAAGAAAAAAGCAGTATCAGACAATTTACCAGACGGCCATTACCATCAACTACTCTGCGCTGAAGGTAAGAGTTGGGAAGACGCGGAAGTGGATTCCTGGAAGCAAACTATCCAGAGCCCCCGTATTTTTGTGTAGAATTGCCCCTTGCTAACTGGATATTTACTAAAGTGTACCTAGCCGGTTTTAGGAGAAAATTTTGTGCTTAAAGATGTATGCAGCGTACGTAAGAAAGGTTATTTAAAAGGTATTGGGTGGTTATATCTAAATTATACCTCCTGTAAACTCTCTGTAACTTATAAATATATGAAAACAAAAGTGCGACACTTACTAGAAGGTACATATAAGTTACATAGAGCTTACAGGGGGTATAACACAGATATAACCCCTCAATACCCTCTGAATAACCTCCATGACATATGTTGCACTGCGTACGTCTTACGTACACAAAATTTCTCAAGTTTTAGAGCTTGCATGACAATTTGTTTTTTAATTTGAGGATCATGCCTAATTTTATTCAATAAAAATAAAATATAAAAAATAAAAATATTTATAATTCAAAATTATAACCTAAGGCAAGTTGAACCAAGTCTAAGTTAGGTTAGACTTAGAATGGTTCATGTTTAGAGCTAGTGTAGGTTAGACCTAAGAATGACCCAAGAAAACTTTAGGTCTAAGTCGACCTACAGAGATTTGTGATGTGTTTTAGGTCTAGGTTGATTTAGACCTAAGCTTAACTAAGCCTTTGTTGGTATATCATGTGCTTTCTCTATATAACTAAATTATTAAACAATATTGTTAAGTTATTAAATAATACAAATAAATCACTGGGAATTCACTATACATTTTTATAATTATTATACTTATGGATGTTTTATCATTTAATTATATTATGATAGTTTAGACAGATTTATCTAATAGCTTAGTTGTATTATTTAATGATCTAATTATATTAAGGTCTAATAATTTATAAAGACAAAAAATAGCCCTATTTTGATTCAAAATGTATCAGGATATCCTCGCATAACGTTTTATCTTTATTTTAAATTTTAAATATGTATGCACTTATATATATAGAAAAAAAGACATTAGACATGTAATTATCTCATCAAATTAAAATTGAAATCAAACTTCGGTCATACTTGTCAAATTTGTTTTTGAAATTTCGAATTGTTGAATCTTCTCCAGGGTTCCTCTTGCAGCGTACTCTAGTCTGTTAGTTGGCATCCACGGTATAAGACCCCTTAAATCGGGGGGCTCGAATTTCCTCTGGCATAGTTGGCCTTAAGAAGGAGGTACAATGTGGGAACCCTTGCTTATTTAACACTACACCCGGGCGCCGGTGTAGCGGCCCTTGCACACTTTTCACTGTATTCAGGCTATACAGCGCGTCGCTTCCAGGGGACGCCCTAACACTTACACAATGATCAAAAGGATTCATGTCATGATTTTTTCGACAAGTTTTACGCTGGCTGTCGACTACCTAACGCAACCCTCCACTTTTCTCATCCGGGCTTCAGCCAAGTTTGAAACAATTTGGAAATTTCAAATTTGAAATTATTTGGTAACCATTTGTGCTGTTTGTAGTTGACTTGTCATCAATTCATATAGAGGCAATATTTGATCTACTTTCAAATGATTTTTGGGTTTTGATAATGTTTAGCAGCCCTGTCATTATGAATTCTTGCTGCAAGAAACTAACCTTTTGTGAAGCTTTTTCAATAAAATGGTTATAATCTGGTTGCTTTGAAAAATTTTATATTTAAATTTGGTAAATATCATTGTGATACTTGGAGAAGGAATTAAAGGCTATAAAGCTTATGATACTGAATAAAACCCTTGCGCAAAGATTAAGTCAGATATGATATCGATATCATCTTTTTATTATAATTTTTTCCTATATATAGCTTAATTAGTATTTTTTTTGAAAAGAAGGTTTCTTGTGCAGCGGGCCTGCATTCTTGACGGCATACTTCTTGATCCCTTTTGATTACAAAAGCTTCAAACGGTTGCAAAGCCAATATTAGGGCACATCTGTCGAAATATATTCCATTGTTTGGAGATCATCTCATAACTTTTTCTTTTTTTGCATAATTCTGTTCTTCCTTGGTCACGATGGGCAGCTAATGTGCGTATGGGTCCACTGGTTCAATTATGCAAAGATGGGGTCACCTTTTCCACTTTTTGCTGTGGGGTTAGAAATGAAAGAAGAAAAATTTCACCATCAGTGCTGGGAATGCACATAAGATGGGGGTTGCTAATTTAGTTTTCTAGAATAATGAATCTTTTGAGCGTTAAATGAAATCATTATTTGAGATAGCTGATAAATTGTCAAAGATAATTATACGAAGGCTATTGTGGCGGAAAAAATTAGGAGAGTCGTCTTAGATGGTTTGGCCACATTAAACGTCTATCATCTGATGATCTGGTTAGGAGAGTAGGTGTTTTAGATTCGACTTACGTTAATAAAGACAGAGATAGACCTAGAAAGATTTGGGCATATTATGAAAAATGATCTTAATTTATTAGAATTAAATGAAAATATGACACTCAATTGGACGCAATGGAGAAAAATGATTCATGTAGCCGACCACATTTAGTGGGATAAATGCTTGTTGTTATTGTTGTATTGTTTTTATGTAATGGAACATGTTTATGTGGCAATTTGCATATTTACAGCATTAAACTTCTCGTCTATTATTTTCAAAAACATTCAGGATTCCATTTTTTACAATAATATATCAATTTGTTTTTTCTTCTAGGTGTTTTTTGCTACTGATAGTGATGGCGTTCCTATCATATGTTTTCTGCTGCAAGAACAAAAACTACTTTCTGTGAGGCTCCAAATTGATGAGGGGGGTGATGGAGTTTCTATTGATGTGAGGCCTCTTATGATCTGGAGCATCCCTGCAATTTCTGCTGCTACAGTAACTGTGACACGCCCAAGGTGGCATTTATCTTTTTTTATTTGGGAAATTTACATCCGTACCAGACGATTCTTATTTATTTATTTATCGAACTCCTTAACTTCCATATTTATATGCATAATACTTTGGTTTGATAAACCTATGCATGAAAAGATGTATTTCACTTTTAAAAAGTAGGCGATAATTTTTCTTAATGTGATATTAAAGATTTGAGGGCCATGCATGTAAATATGATAGTTGGGGTTTTAGATATGTAAATACATAAGAATTGTGTGTTGTGTATGTAAATGCCTCATTTTTTGTGTGTGCTAGTTTATGTTTATGTTGATGTGTCTTCGATACATTTTATTGCAGGGTCAAAGTGGGGCGCCTAACCTTCATGGACATAATTGTGTTGGATTGTGAAGGCTCTCTTCTTCTATATGTAAACTTCAATACCTAGTCGTTTGTATTTCCAATGAAATGCACTTTAAATTAGGAACATTGTTTAGGGCCTAATTTTCTTCTGCCACTGTAATGAAGGCTTGATCATTTTAAAATGATGGTCCTTCTATTGTGGCAGGGACCCTATGAACAATTTATTGATATGTAAAACTATAGAGATGGCTGAAAATTTTGATTTCTTTATTTTATATTTAAGGTGTATTTATACATAGAATGCCTTGGATTATAGTAGGAATATGTTAGACTGACACATAAGGGCAATTTAGTTTTTTATTAGTTATTATTTTTTGATATAAATAGGGCTTATTATGCTTAGGGTTAAGTATGCTATGAGATTTTTGTCTTGAGTTTTAGGATTAGGGTTTGGGAGAGAGTGTCAACCTCTTGAATTGTAGGTGTTAGGGCTAGGGTTTGGGAGAGATCGCCTACTTCTTGAATTGTAGGTGCTTGCCTTTATGTGTTTGAGGCTTGTTGTTTGGTTTTTTTGAAATAAATTATTTTATCTGTCTTAATTTCTTTGAAAAACTCTTCACGTTCCTGTCAAATGGGTTTTAGAGCAGTGATGATGGGGAGCAAAAATTTTGAGTTTCGACATCTTCATGACCAATCCTCACAATACAGTTTTTTGTGAGCTAGCTACGAAGACAACAACAGGATCGTGCACAACCTTTCTTCGATCCGGAGCCTGGGTTGTTGCGTTGCCGACGAGTTCGAGGTATATACGACATATAAGGATCGTGACGTGCAGGGCGTCGCGAGAAGTAGTTGTGACTGGGAGCGACGAGATCATAATCTTTCATTGAATATTGCATTTTGCGTTACTATAAATAAAAAATTACAAACAACGTTACAAAAGGGGCCTTGCTCAACAAAACATGGGATTGCAGTGTTTCCACAAGAATTCTGCGGGAGGGGATACAACACCGCGTTCCTTCATGACAGAATCTCGCAATACAATCGCTCGCAAATAGCTGCGAAGCCAATGATGGGATTGTATAGCCTTTTTTTATATCTAGAGCCTTTGTTGTCACGTCACCGACGGGTACAGTGCCACGTGTCTTCTTGACAAAATCTAACGATTTAGTTGGCAAGCCAACAAAGGGATTAAGCTTTGGAAGCCAATAAAGGGATTATGTCTCCCATGGGAAGCCAAAGACGGGATCACACACCTTCGTGACCGACAATAACGCGTGTAGCTCCTGTGATTGCAGGAGATTGGGATACCGACCGAATCAATCAAGTTTTTGTTTATGTTTTATTTTCTATTATTCTTCATTTCTTTTGTCCTTTTTTATATGTGTTCAATTAGGGTTTGTAAATCAGTTTTTCGCATGTTTTCCATCGGAATAGCTGTTGGGGTATCTGGTTCCCTTCGAGAGCTGTATCTTGGGGTTTTGAGTGGTTCTTCTGCTGTATCTTGGTCTCCAGGTTGTGATTATCTTTCCCATCCCTTTTCACATTCCTCTTACTTCGCTACTATGCCTTCCTCTTCATTGCAGCCGCCCCGGCTGCAGTCCGTTTTCTATTCTACCTTCTCTGTTTTTTCTGCATTTTCTCGCAGTCCAGCCATCCTCTTCGTTGTTACACCCCTAGGATAGTCATGTTTTTGTTGTCCCGCAGTCCCAAGCCTTCCTCGCTAACACTGCCATCATTCGCGCTCGCTGCCGTCGTTCGGAAATGGTCGATCCTTGTCATCTTTTGCTTCTCTAGCTACCACGCCCTCTCATTCCATCCCGCTTCCGTTGCCACAACTCCCCTTCACTGTCGACTTCCTTCCCCTATGCTACCATCAACCCAGACAATCCTCACGCATCTTCTCTCGACTATCTACTTGATGTCCGACCTGGGGGAAACTGATGCTGTGGTGTTTTTTTCTTGCAAACTGTCTTTTCCACGCATTTGTCTCCTTCCAAACCATCATTGACCACCACCACCACCGCAATATCCACCTTCGTTGAATTTTTGTGTTGCGTCAGTTGCTATTTTTGATTTCTGGTGTGGTGATTGCTGTTATTTTCTATTCCAGTGTGTTGTTGTAAGTTGATATTTGAGTTCCAGTAATAATTTTTTTTGCTTTTTTGGTTTTGGTTAACTCTGATATTATTTGATATTAGAGCTGACATAATACTGGTCCTATCCTAGGGCTTTTAGAATCCACCAATACCAAACCCCACCTACACACAAAAATCCCTTTGTTGATTTTTCAAATTGATCACCCAAAAATTTTCCTTTTCAACTTACATCATCTTTATACAGTCTTTTCCATCTACTCAAACTCAAACTCAAACTCTAGTCATGTCACTGAGGAGATAAATGTCAGATGCTGATAAGGAGTTAACCATGGAAGAGATGCAGCGAGAACGTTGCTAATTGCTACAATGACTCGAAGAAATTGAGGAAAGAAGACCATCGAGAGAGGTAATTGAAACTCATTTGATTCTAGAGATGAAGAATTACTATCCTTCGTATTTGGCATGAAATATCAGAGAATCCGTGATCTTGAAGTAAAAGTGAATTTTCTATATTTTGACGGTCATTTAGATTCGAAAGTGTTCATCGAGTGGCTCATAACTATGTATGTTTTCTTTGTGTACTAGGACCTCCCGTCAGATTGAATGGTGAAACTAGCTGTCAAAAAGTTTAAGAAGAGTGCATTATTTTTGTGGGGAAATTTGGTGCACATATGCCAATGTGAGGGAAAATACAATATCACTACTTGGTCCTGGATGAAACTGGAGATGTAGCTCCAAGGCCTATTAGCTCATTACAGGCCGGATGTTTAGACCAACTTCAAAATTAGGGAGATTACATTGCCGAACAATCGCCACTTCTTGTAGGCACGGTTCAACCCCAGACTTTACAAGTAGAGTACATCGAGGGAAAAATTTAAGTTGATCTTGCCCGAGGAAGACCTGATTTAGAGTAGAGAACATGTGGAGTGAACCAACATTCTTAAATCTGTTCTAGCCATAAAGTCTTTTAAGTGTCATATATTTGGGCATATTGAATCAGAGATCACATACATCTCAAAGTGTAGGTGCTTATCTTTATGTATTTGAGTTGTGTTACTTGGCGTTATTGAAATAAAATATTTTATTTGCCCTAATTTATTTGAAAAACTTGTCACATTCCTATCAAATTAGTATTAGAGTAGTTGATCTTGGGAAGTATCGTGGGCATAAAGGGCATAGATGGATCGCGAGTCGCGACATACTAGTTGCACAAGAAACAGTCACGACTTGGAAGCAAATGATGGGATTGGGTGTGCCCTAAAATCGTGATACCACGACGATTCGACTACTAGAAGCCACATTTAGATCATTGAGAGCACGGGAAACCAACTTCATATTGCGGCGAGTGCCCCTAATCACAATACCATCGCGTGAGGACTTGGAAGCTAACGACAGGATTGCTCGTGATTGGATCTCGCAAGATAATCGCGATTCAATTTAGTTGGGAAGCCGTGACGTACAGTAGCTCCGTTTTCTTGATAAAAAATTATCCTGAGAGTTATAACAACCGTGAAAGTTGATGTTTTGGAAGAGAGATTGAATGAATATGTGAGATAAGTCAAATCTCGAATGGAGGAGCGTTTTTCGTCAATGGAGGGGCATTTCTCATCCATGGAAGGGAGACCATGGAACTGAACGATATGATAAAGAAGATCTTGGAGTTTCATGCAAATCGCTATGCACCACCACTAGATCGAGCAACAACATTTGGAGGGGACGTGAGTGACAATATCTGGAAGTAATTACACAATATTTGGAATTTTGGAATGAGCGGCAACAGTCAGAAGGGAACATGTGATTTAGGGCTGAAAAATATCAATTCAAAGGTTTTGGGCCTGGAAGCGGGAATGACAGTGGGTGGGACCCTGATGGAGTGTTGTAACCAGTTGCATCAGTGCCTTTTTGCTATGGTAGCCTTCCAGATAGAAGGATATTAAAAAGTCTATGGGGACATGCTAGCTTTTTTGTTGGGAGAGCCAAATTTAGGAAAGAATGAAAATTAATTGAGTCGAGTAAAGGTATCAAACCCTCTTCATGGGTGGAATGAGCTTCGTTCAAGAAAATTGCGAAGGAGATTGACGCAACATGAAGCTGAAGATGCTGATGTTTGAAGGAGAGGATGCTTTTGATTGTGTTTATTACATGGAAGAGACACATGATACGAAGTTGGCGGAGATTCTGACACTAATCAAAGAACTCACATAATAATTTGCAGAAGTTTTTTAGCTATCACGTGGATTGCCACCTTGGAAGGAACATGAGTATGCGATAACCTTGAGATTGAGGGTTCTCCCATTAATATGTGTCGATACTGCTACCCTCAGACATAGAAGGAATTGATCGAAAGATTGATTTGAGAGATGTTGGAGGTAGATAACATGCAACCTAGTGTGAGCTCCTTCTCTAATGCAACCTTGCTAGTAATGAAGAAGGATTGGAGTTGGCCTTTATGTGTAGATTATCGGGCAGTAATAAGGAAAAAATACTTGACAAATTTCACATCTCGATGATTGATGTGTTACAAGACGAAATTTTTAGAGCTGCGACCCAAGTTACAGTGGGGGCGGGCAAGTTTTAGTCCTTTATAAAAATATAAATTTTTAGAAAATTGTCCACCGTCATTTTATGATTGGGTAATTACATACATTGCACTTGAAACATTGTTATTTACACGATTAACACTCAAATGAACTTTTTGAACTATCGAGCCAATGCATTTTTGTAGCTATCAAACCGTTTGGAATTTGCCCAATCCACATAAAAATGTCCAACATAAGTACTTACCAATTATTTTCTGAACAGTTGTCATTTTTGTGTCACTTATTATTTGTGTTTTACAAGTTTAATAAGATTATCTTGTTAGTTATATTTTTGTGTCACTAAAGGAAAACACCAAGAGGACGCTAGATTACCAGTTTCAACCTCAGTGAGAATAAGTGCAAGTTTCTCATTTTTTTTCGAATTTTTTTAATAAAAGTGTGTTCGCCGCCACCTTCAAGAGACTCGTGGTATGATTGTGGAACATTGCAGGTTTTACCGATAGCAAAAGCAAGCTCTGAACTTGGAGGGGCACGTGCAGGAATGGGCAAGTCGCCGACAATGGCATTTGCATAGGAACGGAGAGTCGATGCCATCTCCCTCACAAGAGGTCAGGAAAGAAATGATCTGACGGGCCGCAGGGAAGCGAGGAAATTGTTGGCGCTATTGGGCTCGGGTTGTCTGGAGCGAGACGACTGTAGCGCCTTCGTCTAAGGTAACTGACGCAAGATCGGCTACGACTATGGGACACGATTGTCAGCGCTGTCGGGCTCGGCTACGAGAGACGACTGTAGCGCCTTCGTCCAAGGAAACAAACGACGACGGCAGGAGCGTTTTGTCGACTGCGGAGACGGTTGGGAGCGATGGACTTCAATAGGAGAGACAGGGAGTGAACGTCGTTGTGGGAGACGCCGAAGAGAAGCGAAGAAGTCGATATAATCATCGTCGGGAATCGCCATGGGGCGAAACCCTAGCAAAGCTTGCCGTTGCCGACGCTATCTAGGAATATATATTTGAATAGACAAAATTCATTGATGTAAAAGAGAGGATACAAATGTTTAGTGAGTGGGTACAAATAACCCACTCAAAGGGATTACAAGGACACATATTCCCCAAAATATAACAAAAAGAGAACAACTCCTAATCATGGTGGGTATAGTTGGTAGATAAACCTCTTCCCCTTCCCCTGGATCTATTGAGGGAGTTCAACAATATACTGAGATGTGTTCTTCCGCTCAAAACTATGATACAATCATCCTGAGAATTGCTGAGATGTGTCATTCCTTTTTTCTTCTTCCTAGATTTGTAAACCTGCCAATCATCTGCCAGAGGTAGTCCTATCTGAAGAATAGGTGGATCTTCGATGGAGGTAAACTGTTGATCTAACTCAGTCTGTAACACACCTTGATCCTGACACTCCTCTAGAACTTGAGTGTCCTCTTCTCTTCCAATAGGTGGTTCCAAGACACTTCAGTTAGCATCTACTACAACAAAATTCGTAGTATTTGTGATCTGAGAAAGAGCTGCCTTAACAATAGTAGGCGGAAGCTGCTGGTTTGGTTGGTGAGGAGTAGCCTTATGAGTCAAATTTTCATTCGATATATCTGGAAGATTAACAGTGTCTGTTATATTTTTCTCCAAATGGATGACGTTGTTAGGATCTGCCGATCTCAAATATGGGTGAAGCCTGATACATTTGACAGTGGTATGCCCAAACAACTTACAGTGATTGCAGTAGGAGGTTCTTTGTTCTGCAACAATTGACTGCCAATACCAATTGTGAGTAGTACCAAACCATATTTCGTCCAGATCAGGGAGGGTGATATCCCTTTTAACAAGAATTCTTGCTTGCAACCGAAGGTCTGGTTAGATCAACCGAAAGCCTTGTTAAATTGAAGGTGGGTGTATCCAATTTCATAGGTCTCCGTAGCGCAACTTTAATGTAACAAAGAATTTGGTGATTGAAGTAGTGCAACTTTAGGCCAGGTAGTTTAAACCAGATTGGAACAGTAGGTGGTTCTTGACTAGGCTCAAATTCAGGAGTCCTTTTAAGCAGATTCATATATTTTCTATCTATTGTCATAAATTTTTGCAAAATATTTTAGCATAGTCTTTTACTTTTGATAATTGTATCACACATGTCTCTTATCAAAGAGATTAACTTTCAAAAGTCCCAATAGTTTAAGATCTTCAAAAGCTTTTCGAACGATTTTTATTTTGGGATGTCCCGATTGGAACTTCCCAATGAAGGTGAATTTGAACTTGTTAACCCGGTTGGAAACTTCAACATCAAAGAAGAATAGAGTCAGTTGACCACTCTTCCTACTCGTCTTCTTGATAAGGTTGCAGTCTTCATGCCCTTTGAGTGATTCATGGTAAACCTGAGGGAAAACCTAATATGATGCCATAGAGCCAATCATGTCAACATAAGAAGCTTTCCCAAGATTTAAAACTGAAGTAGTCAGTGGTTGAGGAACAAAAGCTATAGAGCTGAGAGTCGAACAACGGGTAGATACTGGGTTTGAGTCGTGACTTCAACCAGAGCTCTTTGCTGCTCGATCCGTAGAGCAGGGATCGAGCGGTGCGGGAAGATCACATCACTTGGAGGACCGCGACGACGTAGCCGAAGTCTCAAACAAACAAAAGGAGGAAGAAGTCGTTGTGCCGAATTTGTGAAGGAAGAAACAGAACCTGCTAATTCAACCAGTAGAACAAGAGACGAGGCGTAGTGACACAGAAGTCGACGTCTTTGCGTACAAGACGACTATACCTGTTACGCCTCAAATCCCTTGTTCTTAGAGGATGAGGTGACGAAATATTCGACGTGAAACCCTGCCCTTTGTCTTCAAGCTCGACGAACGACGTGAAATAAAGCAGACGACGAAAGAGGAAATATCTGCGACAGACGACGAAACCGCTGCGACTAGACGAAGTAGACGACGAAATAGCGTAGCAGACACTAAGGTTCGCCATGAGACGAAACCCTAGCAGAGCGGAAACGACGACCCATCTTTATATATATATATATTATATTGTTGTGAAATCTTGCCTCGTCAAGAATCCTTCAAGAAATTTCAAGAATAACTGAAAGAAAACCTTCCAAAGAACTCTAGTGGATTGAGTTAGATGATAAATAACTGAATATCAGAATTTCCAAATAAAATCTGCTGCACTCCCAAGAACCGAAGGACTGTAGCCCAAAAACTTTGACTGCCGTGGAACACCTTGCTGCGGCCAACAAGAACCTCTCTTGGACTGTTCTTGCCGAGCGCCTGTAGCCTAGACGCCTTGCTGTCTTTGAATACAACACACTTTCTGTAGTTGGTAGGAATGGAACTCCACGGACTGCAATTCAAGAAGGTGAACAGCGGAACACCCTACAGCTGAATCCCACCTATAGCCAAATGCCGATCTTCTCCTGTAGCCAAGGAATGCCTATGCCGAACTCTAGCTAGAAGTGTCGAACCCCTCCTTCCTGCTACGAATGAAGCGCTGAATGAAGCGCCGAATTCCCTGCTGCAATTGCCGAACGTTTCTTTCAGTTCCTTACTGTCGAATAAGCAACTGCAACTAGGAAGGAAAGATGAGTGCCGAGTTCCCTTGCAGAACTTCTAGACGCCTCTACCTCCATACCGCGGTTCTTGGATGTCGAAGGAGATGGAGACAACAACAAACAAGAAATAGGGAAAAATAGAAAGAAAAGTGCAAGAAATGAAATGCGACAAGGAACAAGAAGATTTACGTGGTTCGGTCCTTAGACCTACATCCACGGAGGGAATCGCTACCAAATTCACTAGCACAAAACAAGAATTATAGGCTCATTACATTGAGGAATCACCATGTCTCTCTAAATTTCTCTCTCTACAAGACCTCTCCCTCAATTCTAAAGCCTCTCCACTTCTTCCTCTCCTTGCTGAATTTTCTTCCTCCTCTTGATCTTCTTGATCAGATTTTTCTATCTCCTTATGGTGGTCTTCCCACCCCCATAAGACCCCTCATCTATTTATAAATAGATGAGGCCTTCTAAGAGGCATGAAAATTACAAGTGTGCCATTTATGTCATAATTAAGAGCTATGAATAAACAACATATATATATATATATATATATAGATATAATTATTATTAAATATTTAAAATTTTTCCCTTGGTCGGTAGGCCTTATCATTGTTTGGGCTTTACTGTTGAGTTGTCTATGTACTGTTTTATTGCAGAGTGCATAAAATTCTGTTGATGCAACATCATTAGGGTTTTATTGATTCTTCGTTATTTTTTTTTTTGAAATTTCACATGTCAAATGAGTTTTTTAAATGAGACATCATTGTTTCGTGTTTATATCCGAGCTTTTTTTTCTTTTTCAAAATTACAGACGGGTGACCAATGCCTATGCAAGTATATATTACCTGTTGGTGTGGGAAGTGGGCCTATTCCAGTTGATGATAATTCTTCAAGATTATCAAATTTATCCTATGGCATTAAGATCGTTGGAATTGATGATGCTGTGGAAGGACGTTTCAATATAACGTTGAATTCAGGCCGGGTAACGTGTTGATTTTTTTTTGTTTATTTGTTGCTGTTGTATGTGCTTAATGCTGATTAGTTATTTAATGTATCCTATAATATCCATATTTTCTTTCAATTTACATACTTTTTCTCCTGCAAATATTTTTTTCAATTTTGTTTGCTTGTTTTATGACAAGCTGAAGGTGGAAGACTCATACGTAGTGCAGAGATTAATGTTTTAAACTGTCCCAAAATTGCGTTTTTCCTGTCTACTTTATCCATTTATGAAAATGGCATTTCTGTGGAAACTTTTTTTTTTCTCTCGTAGTTTCGTTAATTTGGGATTGGATTGGTTTGTTAAAGGTGCACCACTTTTGTCGTAATAAAAATAGGTGCTGGCACCTTTATTGTAAAGGGAGCATATTGGTGGAAACATCGAGAAGCCTTGAGATAGTCTTTGGGTTTATTTGGGACGTTTGCTTCTGTTATTAAAATTAGAGCTCGTTTAGAATTGTCGCAGATTTTTGAAATGGGGTTGTAAAGTCATTACAAGGAAACCACATTTTTGAAAATTTTTATGTATATTAAAGATATAAATTTTTTAGAAGTCTTGATAGTTTTCTTTCAGTTGTACATTTGTAGATCTAGTGGTAAAAATTGTTTCTCATTACATAAATTTTTGGAAACCAATATAAAAATAATATTAGTTAATTGAAAGTGTTGTAGCAGACTAAAAAATGAAGTTGTGAGGAAACTACCATAAACAAACCCATCATTGTTTGACTTGAATTTGTCACGAATTATGATTTTGATATAATATTGTATAGGAAAAATATTGTGCCTGATGATTTATGTGTAAAATTCGCTAGTATTTCAAGTTGGATAATCAATTAAGAATCTCATTTGATTAAAGAAACAGAAGCTTTGCGTTTAGAAATTAGAAAGGTTGTTGATGTAGGATTTCTACATTAGAGGATCGTGAAATTATTTTTTGGAGACATAATTAAAATAACTCAAAAAGCCAGTAATGAGTTTCTGAAGTTAGTTGAGAAAGTTCGGTTAAGAAAGAGAAAAAAAATACTGTAGATGAATAAGCTACCATTAAAGGCTATACGCTTCTATGGGTACCAAATAATTCTGATTTAAGATGTGACATTTTGCAAGAAGCTTACTTATGATATACAATTTATCTAGAGAGCACCAAGAAGTTTTGAAATTATTATTTAAGTGGCTTGGTACGGAGAATGATGTTGCTAATTTTGTTTAAATGATGAACATCAATGACCAACTGAAGTATTGCATTTACTATATATTCCAGGGAATTAGCGAGAAATTGTGTTGTATTTTTTAATGAGATTTTTCAGATCTAGACAAGCTCATGATTTAGATTTGGGCAATAATTGTCAGATTGACGAATCTACTAATTTTTTGCCTGTAATGCAAACATATTCAGTTGAAAGCTAGCCAGTTCGTAAGTGGAAATTTGTTAAATTAAATGGCATACCAAAAATAATCAAGTCAATTATCAAACACAGCCACCGGATTCCCTTCTATATTGTGGAAATGCATTGTATTTGGACGCAAAAGTGTATTTTCGAATAACATTTATCCATAAACTGATGGCCAGTGACTTCATGTGAGAGAAGATTTGGTGAAACTATGCGTATTAAATTTTTTTTGGCATTTAAGAATATCACATTCGAATTTGCGTATAACATTTATCAATCCACTATTAAAATGCACCTTTGAAACACAGTGTGGGAAGAAAGTGAATAACACCATTAAACTGGTTTGAAGTTTGAGAATGATAGTTGATGTCCTGAATTAGTTAAGCTATGTAGAAAATTAGATTAATTAGAGATATATTAAAAGCTGTTTAGGATCACCAAAAATATGATGACCCGAAGTATAAAATGGTAGCTTCTGAAGTTTAGATTTTATGTTTACAGAAAACTTGACTAATGAAGGGTGTTAGTTGGATTTGGCCCAGGAGAGAAATTAAATCTTAGGTACATCGGATCATTTGAAAAAAACGGAAGGATTCAGAACTATTGCTTTCAAACTTGAATTTTTCGCAGACTTTTCTGATATTTATGATATTTTTCATTCGTCAATGTTAAGAAAATGGCTCAAAATGGGTCAGAAATGCAAATCAAAGGATACCACATAATTAAATTCAAGTACATAAAAATCTAATTTATATTGAAGAACCCGAAAGAATATCATCTTTTTTTTCTATAAATTGAGAAACAGGCGGATCTTTTATATAAAGGTAAAATAGCAGCACATACATGAAGAAAAAGCAACATGTGAATGTGAACATGAAACTACATTGAAGTTTCCTCATTTATTTGAAAGATTGCTAAGAATAGAATTTCGTCAAAATTCTTGCAAGGACGGGAAAGCTAGGAATACTAGTAAGAATGCAGCATACGAGTTATAGGCTCAAAGTGTTAAATGAGGATGAGTTCTTTTGAGGTAAAACTAATTTTTTTGATTTGATTGATCTATTTAGAGTTGCTCATTTAATAATTTTCTCGAATTGAGGAAATTCATTTTTTTGATTAGATTGTGTTTGAAAACCCCAAAATATCAGAGAGAAGGAATACAAAACTCGACCTGAGAAAAATCCAATAGATATAATGAGCCACCCTTTTTCAAATATATGAAACAAATAACTTGTTTGCCTTATTTTATAGAATCTCTCTACTTTGTGTATGTCCTTAGCATTTGATAATGCTATTGAAATAGTTGCTTTTAATAGTTTAGTTTTTTAATTCATTTGAAAAAGAAATTATGATACTTAAATCCTATGAATGTTTCTTTGTAGAAAGCATAATGAAATATTCAAATATAGACTTCTTGTCATGTTTTATCTTGATGCAAAAAAAAGGGTGATTGATACAGGTACATGATAATGTTATGCATTTTAAAAAGGCTTATGATAATAATAATATGATACTGGGCTAACCAACAACAAAAGGAAAAAGAAATATTATTAATGAAATCAAATAGAAAATTACAACTAACAAAACAAAAATATGAAATTACAACAAACGTGACACTAACTCTAACTAGGTTTGGATCAATGGGCGGTGGCGGTTGCCGGTGAGGGTTTGGAAGGTTGCTAGGTGGTGAAAAATAGCAATTGATAAGCAGAAACAAGGAGGCAATTTCCCAAGTTTTTGGACAACAAGCAAGCAATGGAGATTGAGGTGGAAGGGCTCTCTTGGGAGATGGTAGCAAGGAGGGAAGGGGAGGAGCACAGTTTCTCGAAGGCGGAAGCATTGTGGATGGGGCGGGACACTGACTTTGGAGGGCGACAACACGGTGGAGGGGAGGAGAGCTGGTTCTGGCATGCTGCGACAAGGCGAAACTGTAGAAAATAGCCTGATGGCAGTTGTTCTGGGCGCTATAACAAGGATGGATGACGGGGAGCAATGTGGGAAGGATGCATGAAGTGTAGGGGAAGGAAAATCGCCTTCTCTTGAGCGAGATACAACTGTAGTATCACTCGGACCCTTAGATATAGTTGTTGAAGGGAGAAACGGAGACGCCAACGGCTATCTCAAACAAACTCAAGCGAAAAACTAAAAAACCAAACTCTAATACAACACATATATATGAAAAGACTAGAAAAGAAGGATGAGAAGAATTATGCTAGAAATTAGAAAAAAATTAAAAGCGAAGGTGTCTTGTTTGGTTCTGATACAATTGTAAGAATCGATTGCCTGCTTTCGATGGACATGGGATTGTGCGATCCCTCATGCTACCACGTCATCCTCTCGGAGTTGGGGGAGTTTTGACCTCATATATTGAAGCTTCTGTCTTCTTATAGTATGACGTTAGATTGAGCATGTTGAAGGTGATGAAGCTACTGTAACTTTCCGATAAGTCAATCTTACAGGTTACATAGATGTTAGCAAAGTAACTCTTCTTTAGATTAGCCACATTGTCATTCGAAAGTATATCCTATTTGAATAAGTATCCATCTTCTTTTACCACAACTTGAGTCGAAGCTGCATATAGACATATATTTTGATGAAGTAACTCTTGAGTTATTAAATCTGTAATTTGTTTCTCCCACTCGTATTCAACTGAGTGTTTCTGATAACTAAATTTTTCTAGTGGAACTAACTCTAGATTGAAGCCAGTGACATGTTGGACTACTTTCAGTGGAAATCACTCAATAGGTGAACTGCTGGTCATGATTTCTGGCAATCCCTTCAGTTGGGGCTATCCCTTTTCAGACTAACCATCTTCTAGAATAACCAATGTTAATCCATTAAGAGTCTCTCTCATGGGCTCAACTTAATCATTAGCGTCTCTTCTTCACCAGCTAGAAGTTGAGTCCCCTCTCTGAAGTCTTCATCCTCTCCTATATCACTGTCCATTTCTTCAAGTGCTCCCTGTTCAATGAAAGAGATTATTCTCATGGTTCGACAATTTAATTCAGTATGCCCAAATTCGTGGCACTTGAAATATTTTCTATTTGGGACGAATTAGGGAATACTGGTTGGCTATAGCTGTTCTGCATGTTGAACTAGTTTATCCTCTGGCGGGTCAGCTTGGTTGTTTCTCTAGGTGTATTCTTGCTGCTTGATTCTGTGGTTGAATTCTGCCAGTAAGATGTGGCGGTCACCTGGTGATATCGCCTCTCCACCTTTGAAATTAACATCCTGTAATGTCCAATAGGGTTATAACTGGATCAACTTGTCATTGAACGATCTCAATCCTCTTAGATGCCGAGCAGTGATTTTCTCCTTGGGCTCCATTACACTTTAATATAAGCTGCTCGAACACTGCTGTGTACTCAACTGGCAAGAGATTTTGTTGTTGCAACTGATGAAGTTTCAAGAATATATCCTGTTTGTTATGATTTGTTTAGCGCTGCATCTCTCATTTCATATTGCACAATGTAGTGATTTTATTTTCCCCTTCTTGCTTTTGAAGAATCTTCAGATTCTTCCATCACAGAGATACACCCTTTTTTAACTTAACGAAGACTAGATTTATCATTTTATCTAGTGGGACGTCCTGATACTCGAAGATACATTCCATTGCCTGTAGCTACTCAATGAATTCTTTGAGATCACTGCGGTCGTCAAAACCTGGTGAAACCACCTTTACTTTAAGATCGCGACTTGTTTGATATTTCATGCTAAATCTTTGGGGTTGTGGTGCTTCATCCTTTTGATTAGATGAATCACCACCGTGACTATGGGTGAAACTTTTGCATTCTCTTTTTGAAGCCTGCAAACCTCTGTTGTAGCTGGTGGATTTTCATTAAAATTTCCTGTACATCTTTTTGCAGATTTCTCATAAGCGACATTGTCTAGTTTCTCTTGATTAGGTTTCCGACAATTATCTCCTCGATGGCGTGGTGAGGGTTTAGGTTTGTAGGGTGAAATGGGGGTGTATGAGTGTGGTCTATAGTGGGGAAAAAATTTTTTTTGGGTGCTAATGTGCAAAATCAGCAGGCGGAACGGTTTTATGTGGAGATTATGCTAACTATTAGTTATGCTAGCTTTGATTCCAAAAAATACCAGAGTTAACTAATAACAAAGAAAAAATTAAATATTACTACTGAAATCAAATAGGAAATTACAACCAATCAAATCAGAAGTCTGAAATTGCAACAAACACAACACTAACTCCAACTATGGTTGAATCAAAAGAGTGGTGGTGGTGGCCGATGAGGGTCTGAAAGGTAGCTAGGTGGTGAGAAAGTTGAATTGACAAGCATAAACGAGGAGGGTTGTTTCCTAGGTTCCTGGACAACAAGCAAGCAATGGAGATCAACGTGGAAAGGTCAATGATGGCGGCAAGGAGGGGGAGGGGGGAGGGGGGAGCACAGTTTCTGGAAGGCATCAACATGATGGAAGCGTGGGACAATGATTATGGAGGGCGACAACACGGTGGAGGGGTGCAATGCTGGTGCTGGCAGGTGGAGGCTGGGTGGGATTGCATAAAACAACTCGGAGGCTATTGTTATGGGTGGTTGCAGGACGGCTGATGGGGAGTGATGTGGGAAGGATGTAGAGAGGTAGAGGAAGGATAATTATCACGTTGGGAGCGAGATACAATCAGAGCACCATTCAGACTCTTTGAATACAAGTCTAGATGGGAGAAGCAGAGGCGCTAACGACTGTCCCGAACAAACTCAAGCCAAAAATTAAAAAACTTATTGATAGGTGATTTCAAAATATCCGTATAATTTATTTTTCATAATTAACTGGTAATGATTGCAAAACTGTTTTACACTTTCTATGTAAAATATTATTAACAGTTTCTTTAGGAAATCTATAATTTCTTTTAAAAGATTCAAATTTTTTCATACATCATTTCATCATTATTTACACAGCATTTCCTAAGCTATACTAATGCTCCTAATGGTTTCACATAATTTATACTAACCAAATATCTAAATATAATCTCTTATAATTCCAGATATTCCATGGAATCACTAGTTTTCTATTGGGGATCAGTTGCACGACGAGGTTTGGCGTACTCGTGGACGCCTGTCATATTCTGTTGGGAAGACCGTGACACTGTGATCACAATACTCAACACTATAGGTTCAATAACACTTACTCATCATTAAGGATGAAAAACTCATAGTTCTCCTACCTTCTACAAAATCTAATGTTATAGATGATGTTGTCATGAGAGGCGTGCCAATGGGATTAATTTTTGGTATGTTAGAGGGTAGTGAGGTAGAAGAGCCGGTATGAGACGCAGGGCAACCACTATGGACAGAGTTTCAGTATATTCTGACCAACAACTTACTGCCAAGTTTGTCACCATTAAGGGAGACTCAACTTGTCTTAACTTCAGAGAGAAATGAACCAACTTTGAGCTACTTTTGGAGTTCTATGCGGAGTGCGCTTGGCACGAAATTACAGTTCAGTTCAACATTGTAGCCACAAAGGGTTGGATTGATAGAGATGGTTACTTGTAATTCAGTAAATTTTCTCTGGTGTTTTGTGGGACATTGCATCGATAGTGGGGTTCATATACTTCTAGAAATGCTGTTGAAGGCCTTCCAATCCCTGGAGGTTACGACAACTCTGCCAACGTGGCCGACTTGACGGCATATCATGAGAGTCAGAAGCTTCGACGGAATGAGGTCGAAGATCCACCAACCCTGGTAGACCAATGTGGGGGTTTGGCTAACCCTTGATCGGTTTGGTCCAGGTTGAGGGAGGGCCAGTCAACCCTCTCGAAGTCTAGGGTTTCTGTCCAATCGATGAGGGTCCCACTCCTAAAAGTTGTAGGTCTATGTAAGTGTTTCTATTATCTTTAGGATCATATTTTTGTTGTGATTTGCTTTGGAACACCCGTTAGCGTCTCCTTTTCCTTCTACGGGTTGTATCATAGGTTTCAAGAGGTCCTCCGACTGTGTGTTGGTCTCCAAGTGGTGTTTATGCTTCCTATACCTTTTTCACATCGCTCTCACATCCCCTTCCCTTTATTCTTACTGCTGCCACCCAAAACAACCCTCCTGCAGTTGTTCCTGGTGCTTGCTTGCAGTCCGGACTCCTGAAAACTATTGTTCCGTTGTTTCCAGCTTGTAATCTGCTTCTTTGCCATCATCTTGGAGGTCCAAAACTTAACCAGTACCACCTACACCCAAGATCCAACCCTAACTCCAATATTATGCTGTTGTTTTGTGGCAATTTTATATTTTCCTACTGTTGTAATTTCAGACTTAGAATTCAGTAATAATATTTGTTTCTCATGCGTGTTTGTTAAATTCCGGTATTAAATACTCTTTTAGTTTTTTTCTAGTATATTACGGTTCATCTTTTCTATTTATTTGTTACTTTTGATGTCTTCTTTTCTCATTTGTTCTCTGGTATCATCGTTGAGATTTACTTTTAAATATCTTTTTTTGGATTAAAACTAGTATGTGCATCTGTAACCTTGAGACGAGAAGAAGCTGTTTCATTAGCGAAAACAAGTTAAAAGTTTGAATATTTGTGTTAATTCCTTTAATGCTTCCACCGAGGTTTCCTACATGTTTCGTTTACGATTTGTATTTAAATACATGGATTGTGAGCTGCAATTTGGAGTTTGCATTAGTATGAAATTCTAACCTTTTTATATCAATTTAGGAAGATATACATAAACACCACTCAATTCTTATGTGTTTAATTATCTAACACCAATACTTCAATTTTTACATACATATCACCTTACCGACGCTTGAAAAATCGTATTTTGCTTTTTAAAAGTTAAAATGGTGGCATTTATGAAGTCATATGAAAGTTTTGGGTGGCATAAATATAAAAAATAAAGTTTAAGTGTTATATATGTAAATACATATGAATTGGGTGGTATATATGTAATGAATTGGGTGGTATATGTAAATGCCCATTAAGTTTTTGTTGCACGGATGACAGATGTCTGAACATGCTGTAATGCAGATATTCAGATGTACTTTGCATTGCAGCCCATCTTCCTCTCTTGCAAATGATTGCTTGATGGCGATGGCTGAAGGATTGCACTCTTCTTCGTACAGTCATTTCTTACGTGTTCTCTGGGGTAGCGGTTTTTCAGCAAGCTCCCAAAATAATGAATCAAATGTAGAATCCCAATGGGAATCTTTTCTGAGTACAGTTCACCGAATCATTGATCTGCATCAGTCTAGTCGTCACAGTTTCCCTAAAATTCCATCCACGTCATGGGATTTTCTGATTAGTAGCAAATTCCATACTAGCTATGGTAAGCAGGTTCCAAACTCTTGTATTTCGGTGGTGAATGTTTCAGGCTGCAGAGATTCTCTCTCCGCTGCTGTTCACGTGCCTGACAAGAGAAGTCCAGAAGTGATTTATTATAGGCAGCTTTCGTCGGAAATGCTAGATTCTTTGCATGCCCTTTATGAGAACTTGAAACTCAACAATCTTCGCAAGCAGTAAGAAAATTTTTCTTTGAGATGCTTATAATGACGACTTGTTTTACAAATCAGTTTAATCACTTTTTTTTACTTTGGCAAGGATGTTTTCGTTAAAGCACCCTCCATTTTCACTAATTGTTTTACACACACACACACACACACACACATTCTTCAAGTTTATTGTTGTCTTCCATTTCTCATTTAGTTGACAAGTTCTAGAAATCTTTTTCCTTTTTTGATATTCTTGATGCATTCATTAGTTCTTTTTGCATGGGACTTGCTTTCATTTTTTGAACCAATGCCTTGTACCTGAGTTCAGTGCTATGACTTGTGCTGTATGAGAAGGAATTTGGCTTTGAGGCTTATTTGAGGAATTAAGAATTCAACTTGAATGACCCACACAACTGTTCTGTGACAACAGCTTCTATTAGTACTGCAAAAGATTTCGTCTACCATGACAAAAAATATGCTAAAATTGGTGTCTCTCATATGACTTATCCACGCTTCTACTTCAAGTTACTGTTTTTCTTACTAAGCCCTGTCGGTCAACTTTTCGATACATATAGATAGATTTGAAAATATGAATATGAAAAAATAATTTTGGAAATTTAATTTAATATAATAAATATATAGTTTGGGTTTTGAAAGTAGTATGTTTTAATTTTTGAAAAATGAGACCAAATGGATCTCATTCGTCCAATAGTTTACATAATCGTGCCTGATACCGCGAATACTACACCTTCCCGAAAGATAAGTGTAAACCTCGGCGATAGACCCAATCCTGCAAACTAAGAGATTTGTGACATTCATTTGGTCTGCGAACCTTTTATATATGACCGACAAATTCCCCTACCTAATATAAAGATTAAATAGGGTTTATTTTACCTGGGTTCCAAGTTCCCTATA